AACAAATTTCTCAAGCCCATCGATTTCATGCATGCAACCCCGGAGTGGCGCGCGTGTTTACTCGTTCCTTCATCTTTTTCAGTTTTTGAAGATCTCAAGAGAAAATTAAACACTCAACTCACTACTGATTTGTTGAATATTGCTTCTCTTTCGATATTACTGATTCAAGTGCTACAATTCTTTTAATTTCTGAGCTGACAAGTTAGTTTATTCCCTTTTCTTTCTAATTTCCGTTTTGGGAAAAAAAAAATAATAAGAACAGTGTTGATCCCAGTTAACAAATACTATTCTGGTGGATTACTTTCTATGACAAACTCTTCCTTCTTCGAGTCTGATTAATCTTGGGAAAACGAGCTTATAAATTCTCCTCCATTTGCGGAATCCCAGAACCCGAATTTTGATGCTGATTGCTGACTGGCTTTGATGGTGCACAAGGACCAAAATCGCCCATGGAAAGGAAAACAAAAAAGCCTATCTTGTGGTAGTACTTTTTACAAAGCCCATCACGTGTGTTTCTGCAAAAGAAAAGCCCAAAGTAGGAGCATTGTATTCTTTGGTGTTTGATCCTCCCCGATGTTCTTTTCAAGTTTCCGCTGCCTTAATTCTTTACTGAATTTTTCCATTGCTTATACATATAAATATATATATATGTGTGTGTGTGAATAATCGTTACTGAATTTTTGACAAGTGCCAATACCATTCCCCTTTTTTCTTTTTGTGCAATCTTGATGATTATAGTTGAGGACTAGAAATTAGTTTGTCACTTCAAGGGAACAAAAATCTAGTGCCAAACTAAACGTCTCGTTGAACTAATGAACTAAAATTCCAAGCATACTATAGAAGGAAAAGTGAGGCATGCAGCCTGGCAGGCATATATGCATGTCAAGGCTTTTTGATCAGATGCCCATCTAATAAAAGTATAAAACAAATGAAAGCCTAATTAAGGAAGTTGGAAGAGATGCATAAAAGCCAAGTGGTTTTCTAACATACTATAGTGTTTTATCATGGAGATGCTTAGCTGCAAAGGACCTACGTACGTACGTGTAGCTTGATCACAAGAAGATTATTAGTTTCGGCAGCCCCACACATTCAATATCAATTATTATAAACATATATTAATTAGTTGGAGTTGGAGTTGGAAGAAGACCAAGAAATTAAAGAATTGCAGTTTTGTGGGGGGAGTATAAGAATAATCAATGAAAGTTCAGACACCGATACTCGATTTTTTAGAGATTCTATTCCTCTTCTTTATCCAATCCAACTACAAGACTTTGTTGCGCCTGCTTTAACAAATTAAATTGATTGAAAAATGAAAAAGGAGAGAAAACATCAAAGAATTGAAAATTCCATCCAGTTCAAATTCAAAAGGGCTGTATGTAAAGTAAGGAGGAAGAAAGAATGGTCTTTATTAATCTTTATTGCTGCATTATAAGGATATGAAATATTCTTGGTATAGAGGGCTTTGCGGAAAGCAAATGACAGGTACATTTACGGGCTGTAAGGCTTTGTCGTAAGAATCATTTTAACTGGGCGTATCAGAAGACGATGATCAGCATCACCAGAAACCGATCGTTCTACTACTACTACTAAATTCCTAATAATTCATTTGGGATAGCTAGATTCGACGATATGGCTCCATTATGCGTCAACAATGATTGATGGATTTTGGCTTTGGGGGTTTTTACATTTTCAGGATACTTATCCTCCTCCAAACTTCTTCCTTAATCACTGACTGCCGTTGCCCTCGCTTCTATACATGTATGCTTATCCATATCCATCTAATATTCGAATTTCATTTCCCTTTTCTTTTTTTTCTGGTGCCATGAAAGCTTTGAGAAAATTTAACGTTCATTCAGTTAATGAAAATTGAGTTGTTTACCTATAAAAAAGTAAAAAGCGACTGTAAATCGCAACATGCCCGTGCAAAAGACACATACATGCAAATATCTTCTTCTTCTTTGTTTTCTTTTGGTATCTATCGCAATGAATCGTGCGCATATAAAATACTAGTATCATTTTTCCTCGAAAATTCTTACACAGATAAACGGGTTATTGAAATCAACGCGGAAGAAGATGTGTTTGGATACAAGAGTGCTGGAATTTATTTTATCGATCTTACTTTTTTTTTAAAAAAAAAAAAAAAAAACACAGCAGTGAGGTTGGAACTCAAACAATCTACTGAAGAATCATCGTTTAAACATCTGAAGCCATGGATGGCCAAGCTATATATTTAGAGCCTATAGACTGGTAAAAGATATTTGTAATTTGAAAATTTTTTTTTTTTTTTTTGTGTGGTCTTGTTTGAGATACATTAACCAGGTCATGAGAGTAGACTAGATGCATGGCTTTCACCATAGATAGGAGTCTGAGAAAATTAGTGGTAGCTCAAGTGTCGAAATTCGTTTTAGAGTTTGACCTATATACAGAAGGCAGGAGCATAAAGGGCGTATAGCATCTGGAGCATGAGAAAGTGGGGAATGAATTCAGAATCACTCTGGTCGGCCTCATTCACAAAAGACGTCTTCCTAAACAAAAAGAAGAAGTTTAGAGTATTGCTGAAGACAAGAATTCGAGGAAATTGATAGAGATGGATCAAAATACAGGTCTAACAAATGGTTATTCATTTCTCTGACCCTTTAGCTTTCGCGTCTAGTGTCAACTAAAAGTTCAGAATCGCTCATAAAGCCGATTTTCAGTCTTAGAAAAAAAAACGTCTGCTTTCTTTATTGGCTATTTTTTAGTTGAATATATGCTACTAGTCCTTTTCTTGTCCATTACTTCCTTGAAGATACTCTTCCTTTTCCTATTTTCTTTTTTTTTTTGGGGGGGGGGGGGGGCAGAAGAATACGTTTGCGTGTTTGACCCAAAAAACTAGTTAGTAAGTATTCACTTAAATACATGTTGGAATCCCCAAACCCTAAATTTTTATCATTCCTTTTTGTGCTTATCCTGACAATGACACATAAGATGTGCTTAAAATACAAATTTGTCATTCCCGTTTGATTATGCTGTGATAAAAGATCAAAGCTTTGGAAGTGAAATATTATGAGTTATAGAACCAGCAAATGCCAGCACCGCCGGCCCAAGCAGAATTCGTCGAGGAAAAATTGTTAAAATTCATCTGATTCTTGAAAGAATACATATATATGATTGTTACATTTATTGAACAACATGAATTTATTACACCAATTTTTTACCCGGGCCTTGTGATTATTGTACATTCTTTTTTCCCAAATGCAGAATAAATCTGCTATATTAACAGAAACCTCCAAAAAAAAAAAAAAAAAAACCACTAAACCTCCTTTCAGATAAATAGTAGAATTGCTAGTGAAAGATTAACAAAATTAAGTATGAAAGCAAAATAGTCAAAAAGACTAAGGCCAAGTTTGGGAATTCATGAGAACGAAGAGAGGAAGAGAAAATTTAAGTTATGAGAGGAAAGAAAAGGGAGAGAGTGAGAGAGATTTTGTAAGTTTCGCCCGCTTAGTGAGGAAATTTAGGAGGAATAGAATGATTTACAATTGATGAGGCAAATATGATTCTGTTCTTAAGCCTTATACCTTAGGTCACAATTTCTCCACTTTCTATAGAAAATTGTTTTAGCAATTCTATCCTTCCATTTCCTCCCATTTAACTTACTCCTTTCCATTTATACATCCCAAACGACGGAAAATTTTTGCATTTTTTAAATATATATATATTTCCTTTTTGGTGGTTTCTTTGCTCTTTCCATTCTTCCATTGGCTAGTGAAATGTCGAAACCAGAAGAACTCTAGTCGCTAGAGCTGGCCTGGACTAGGCCCAAGATAGTTTAACGTCTGGCGGTCAATCTGTTTGCAACTACTATCAGTTTGGACTTTCGACCCATCAACATAGCTCTGGGCCAGCTCTCGAAGGATACGGCGAAGTTGTCGGTGGTTGTTTGGGCTGGATTCCAGCCTTGAATCAAGTTGTCTAATAAAGCATCATCAATTGTCTAATTAGTGATTCCCTTTAGAACTGGACTATGTTTTTCCTCAGGAAGGTTTTAGCTGAGGTCAAGAAAAAAAGTAATTAAACAAATCTCTCGCTTGCAACCCTCCGAAAATTTGATTATAATCACAAAACGAGGCTTCGTTCGTGCTCTATGATATCAATTTTCAACAAAAAAAATCGCTGCCAATGAACCGGTCTCCGAAAACATCCCAGCATGCAACATGGAGCCACAGATTGGTGAATCTTAGTGCACCTTTTAATGTTCTCAATTACGTATGCTTCACTAATTGATGCTTCCCAGTCTGTAATTTTCCTCTTGACAGACAAACCGTTCATTGTTTCTTCTAAAGGTTACCTACCATCCTTTTTGTTGCCAGCATAATCGTGGTTTCATAAATTATATAGGTCCAAACGGCAGTAGAGACGCAACCCTATGATGAGGATTCTTGCAAAACACACCATTCATTTTCCATACCACGGCCATGGCAGCTACCAGTCTGGACTTTCACCAGTTGACAGTGCTGGCGCTGCTCTAGTCGAAGTCTACATGATTTGCATGAACAAAAGTAACAGAAATTTGTAAGAGCACTCACCGTGACAGTAACTACACAAATGTCCATCCACAAACATCGAGATTTTCTCTAAACCCATGTGGCAGCAAAAGCTCAGAATTGCAGAGAGCTCAGGATTAAGACTTGACAAGCTTTTCCAAAAAACAAACCCATAGACATTCATCAGCTGCATCATAAGCAATTTATACAACACCTCCAAGTAAAACAAGCAATAGTGATGGACAAGACACCGTAAAAATGAACAAAGAATATTAAGACTTCCACCTGGACTCTTGCAAGCTGCTAAAAACAGATCAACTGATGCAACGAAATGCTTTGCCCAATCCAAACAAACAAACTTGCATGAGAAACGCAAACATTTTGGTTCTAAACGGAACATAAAAAAGCTAGCAAAAGCAAAAAGAGAGAAGCAGCCAAAGTACAAGCAAACCTCGTAAAGTGTACAAATTTTGTCCATGCAGATTGTAAGTGGTTCAGTAACGCACAGAATACATAGATTCAAAGTCAAATAAAACGTTACAGGGGAAGGAAAAAAAAAAAAAAGAAAAACAGAAGCAGAGGCAATGCACAATGACAACTGCATACCACTGAACATGCACTTCTGGCTTCTGTGCACCACTCTAATGGCAGCAGAAAAGTCTCGCTTTTTGACCAGATGGGAATGTAAATACTTATATGTTTGACCCATTTTTCCCATGGTTCCTTTCTTGATGACGAGGAATATCCAGTATCAATGCATTATGTATAGAAAAGTAACAAAAATGAGACAAGCTCCTTTCATACAGAGAATGTCCTGTTTGTAAGAACTAAACTTAAGGTTTGAAACAATGACAAAATCTAGGGGCAGGGCAAGAGTGAAGAAGCTAGAATTTATCAGTACTGAGTTGACAAAAGACTTAGAAGGGAAATCCTTTTTGGACGCTTCTTTTTGAGGATTCAGCTAATCTCTTAATACCTTTTGCACTAGTATAGAATGACATCAATTCCTTGGCCACAGCCTCCGGGTGACAACTAATGAATGCCTTGATAAATCGCTTCTCAGTCATCCTCAAAGCTCTTACCATAGAAGGCCCCCTGACTTGAGGAACAAGACCCATATCATCAATCTTCTCTGCAAGAAGATAACGTGGTCTCAACAAGGTCTCCAAATTGAAGTACAGGAGACATGGATTACGTAATACACTGCTGGCAGAGAGCTTCATAGTGCCCAAAATAAAAGTCATGTTTCTCTGAACTTTATCAACAGAAAGTGTTAATAAAAGAGGAGAGCGTCCAAATAATTTCAGTATCTCATCTTCAGAAAAACCAAATTTCTCCAAATTCGCCATCTTTTCATGGATTGTCTCAAGACGAGAGATGGAAAAGAGAGTAACCACATACTTATACATCCTTGAAACCTTTGAGACCCCAGTTCGACGTATGTAGTCCATCTTTTCATCATTCAGAGCACACCGGGGGATCAATGTGGGCCGAGAGATGAGCATAGGGATCAAGTCCTTTCTGCTAAGACCAACATTCTCGAACCTGGCAATAACAGGTTTTATACTATTATGAAGGTCATACGTGAGCAGTGATGGATTGCGGAGTATAGCCTTGAGCAGAACTTCCCTAGAACCAAACAGTGCTTGAAGATACTCGATGCGTTCATCCAAGTTTTTATTGAGTCGACAATTGAGAAAGCGGGGACGACAATAAATAATCTTTGCCAGGTCAGATGAGGAGATACCCAAACCACTGAGTGTGTGAAGCTTGGATTGAAGGTTGTTTACATCCATTTTACGCAAGGATGGCCGGCGGAGAAAAATAGTGGACACATCATTTTCACTACAACCCCAGCTCCTTAAAACATCAGCAGGATCTAATGGTTTCTTTTGAATACCAACAGTTTTAACCTTTTCACCATAAGTTTCAACCACTGGCAAAGCTGCTGTAGCATAGGATCTAGGGTTCAAAATGACTGTTTCAATCGCAAAAGCACTAAACAAGGACAGATTGAACCTTTGGGTGGCTGAAAATAGGGAGCGCAATTTGACTAAAGCACTTAAATTCAATTTCATATCAATCTGCAAATGGGGGAGTATTCAGAGACTTGGAGGATTTATATGAACTAAGAACACTTGAAGCAAACCACCTAAAATAATTGAAGGCAGGTTCCCAAAAACAAGGCTGAGCCCCTAACAACCCAGCAAAGTAAAGGGCTTTTCTGCAAGCAATCAGCAAATAAAAGGAAAAGAAGTTCAGCACAGCCATCCTTGGACAAAACAGGAACTGTTTTGATTACCAAACTAAGCAACGAATTAACGTTGAGAACATAGAGAAAAACATCAGTTAATTATCTCCAAAAAGTACAAACAACAAAATATCAAACGCCTGCCGAATGTGAGCAAAGCAAAGCTGCAGTTTTATGATGGATGCGTGTGCATGATTCAAACAACTTAAGCGAATAACTAAAACCCACTTTGCTAGACAAATTAGAGAAATTCATCGTGCCAAATTAAAATCATCACTTTTCTTGTATGAAATACTTACGACAAAAATCTAACCCAGAATCAACCACTGCAAAACTTGTGAAAGAAAATGTACTTCGTCCAACAGCTTGCATTGAAAATCGAAAACTACACCAAAAACAAGAAGAAACTAATACAGAATAACTTATTGCGCTACATCTCAAAATCCAATATGATTTAAGGTATCGTAGGCGTCGAAAAACTGGAGGGAAAAGCAGTATTAAAATATTAAAGCAGATAAACAAAGATAAGAGCGAAGAGGAACTTACGTCGGAGAGGCAATGGAGAAACTCCCGGCCAGAGGTTTTAAGGTTTTGTCTGAATTTTTCCAGTAATTTTTTAGTCTTTTATTTCTTGAGCATACGGGCAAGTGCCAATGATACGGGATTTTACTGTTATACCCTAGGAATTATATTTTACTGTGGGACACAGTAAAAATTTGACGGGTAAGCAAAGCAGGACATGGTGATTGGTGAGTTTCTTGAAAATAGGAGGGGGTTGTTGGAAAACTATGGAGGATGCTGTATTTTTACACTTCTGCAAATCTAAGATGTTGTTGGGACTTGGGAGAAATCATAATTAGGACTCTTTTTCGGAAACAAAATTCTAAGAATTTTTTGGGTCTAAAATAAAGGCATCTTTCGCCGAGGAGAATTTTGAATCGTAAATCAAAATTGTCATTTTTTTTCAACTTATTTCTGCATCAGTTGACCATAGTCTTGTAAACAGCTGCATCAGTTGGTATTGGTAAGATGAACAAAGCTCATAATGTTGCCTGACTCAAGAAGATTAATTAGTTCAAGGTGCATCTGTTCTTAACTCGAAACGCTGTCGAATGAACAAATTCATAAGAAAATGCTAATAGCAACCACTTTGGGCTACATCTTTTTAACTAGAGAATAAGCTGTCTTTCATATCACTAAATCACTAATAGCTAGGCAGAGGAAACAAATAGGTACAAAATTCAATTTCTCTATTTGTGTTGTAATCATGCACAAAATATTACATTATTGTTTTTGAATCGTAACAGCCACAACTATTGCCTATATTTCTCCAACCAAAAGTTGTCTTAAGCGTACAATAATTATCCCCCCTAATTCGCAAATTTATTTTATTTTATTTTTTTTTGATACAAATGGGGTGGAGTAGCAACTTCTAATATGTCAATTCCAAGTAATTCTCTAAGTTCAGTAATTCGCAAACGAAGTACACTGTAAATTAAATATGAGGTTTTTATGTGACTTCAGAAATACAAACAAGAAAGTAGTTTGGAGTAATGGTGAGTAATTTCAATTTTCTACAGAAGATAGATGATGCCTCTCTATACAAGGTCTGGAGAGTAACTCTTTTTAACCTAATTATTTATCAAAGGCCATGAAAAAGATTAGTCCTAAAGAGCTCAATATTGTTAAATTGCAAGCGATCAGGAAAAATTAATAGTATTATAGTCCTAGGCAACGCCCGATGATGGAATAAGGGAAAGAAATTCTCTGTACAAATTATAAAGCCAATTGGTTCGCAATGTCAGCTACAGCCTAAGTATTGACATTGGTTAAGGATCTCGCTGCCTAAACTCAACAAAAGTTCAGTTCAAAACTGTCCCCTCTTCTACCAGTAGTCTCCACAAGAACACTTGCCATCTCTAAAATGGTGAAACCGGTAAGGATCCCTCAGTATGATTTTCCTTTGGACTATACTACTCACAAACTTGAAAACCGTATGGCAATCTCCACAAACGCGAAGATTTTTGAAAACCCTCAAGGTCGAACCTTCAGGAGTACTTATCAAACCATATGCAAGTGCAAGTCTCTCACTGTGATTCCACAAATTGTGCTCCTTCTGTTCTTCATCAGTGTCATGCAAAGCAAAGCTAATATCAGCAACATAGCCTGCTTCATTTATCTTTTTCCTCAGCTCCGCAAGTTTAACGTATATCTGCTCGGACTTTGGGTGAGAACGATCTCCTATTCCAAATGTACTAACTTCAGTTTTCAGCTTAACCCAACTGCACGCAGGCTGCTTCTTTACACTATTTGATTCCATTTCAACCCTTACATTCTGTACATCTTGCCATTTCCCAGACGCTGCGCAGACATTTGAATATAAGACAAAAGCTGAATCATCCGATGGCTTGGTTTCAAGAAGACGTTTAGCAGCTTTCTCTCCCAAATCCATGTTTCCATGTATTCTACATGCTGCCAACAAGCTTCTCCATATAAAGTCATTTGGTGGGACTGGCATATTTGTCACAAATGCTTCAGCTTCAGCTAGTCTTCCTGATCGTCCAAGAAGATCAACTATGCACACACAGTGCTCTATTGCAGATGGGACACCAAAAACTGAAGTCATCGAAGCAAAATACGCAAGACCCTCATCAACGAGACCCCCATGACTACATGCAGATAGAAGAGAGACAAAAGTGACATGATCAGGTTCTGAACCATACTGCAGCATTTCATGAAAAGCTTCCCTAGCCTTTTGAAAATACCCATGCCTAGCATAAGACGATATTAATATATTCCAAGACAATCGTGACCGCAAATTCGGTTGTGGAAGCATTTTTAGGATATCATCAATCTCACCACATTTACCATACATATCCATTGTAGAATTTTTAACATAGTGATACGAGTCAAACCCCAGTTTAATGGCCAACCCTTGAAGTTGTTTGCCTTCCTCCAAGGAAGCCAAGTCCGCTGCTACCGCCAGTGAAGCAGAAAGGCTAAATTGGTCAAAATCCACTTTAGCTCTTTGCATCTCCAGGATAAGTTTCAGAGCCTCTTCTCCACGCCCATGATGAGCATTTGCAGCAAGCATGGCATTCCAAGTTACAGAGGTCTTGTTAACCAATTCATCAAAGATTATATTACTCAAAGAGAGTTCACCACAGTTAGCATACATTGTAATGAGGGAGTTCTTAACATATTCATTTGTTTCAAAGCCCGTCAGAATCATATGTGCATGCAACGGCATTCCAAATCTCAGTAGGTAGGATGGAGCTGAGCAAGCACCCAGAACACTTATCATGGTAATGTAGTTTGCAGGTTCGCCTTTTTCTCTCATCAACTTAAAGGCCTTCGCAGCCTCATCTGGTTCTTCATTCTCAGCATACCCTCCAATGAGTGCATTCCATGTAACCAACTCGAGCTCAGGCATTTTCTGGAATACCTGCTTAGCTTCTGACATCATCTGACACTTTCCATACATGGTGACCAATGCATTCCCAACTATCAAATTTTCATGGAATCCAAATATGAGGGCAAGTCCATGGACTATCTTGCCTTCAACGAGGAATTCAGGATCAGAACAAGCAGCCAATGCACTTGCAAAAGTCACATAGCTGATAAATTTTCTTATGCCCAAAAGGCCACCCAACACTCTTAAGGCATCTGAGCTCCTCCCTTCAGAAACATAACCAGCCATCAATGAGTTCCATGAAATTAAATCCTTATCTTTCATTCCCTGGAACAAACTTTCTGCTTCTTTGGATCTACCAGTCTCTGAGTACATAGTAAAAAGAGTATTAGACAAACAAATGTTTGAATCAAATCCCACTTTCACTGCTAAACCATGAATCCCCTTTCCCCACTTCAAATTCTCGGGTGTACTGCTGACTGAGACCAACGTGGAAAGTGTGGTTGCATTTATATCACCATGATCACAGCGCATCACATCAAAACATGTAAAACATTCCTCACAAAGTAAATTATTTGCATAAGCAGCTATCATCGAATTCCATGATATGGTGTCGTGTTCAACCATATTATTGAAAACATAGCATGCTTGTTTTACACCACCGAAGCTACCAAACATGGACACAAGCGAATTAGCAACAGAAATATTTTCCTCAAATCCTGACTTTATGACATGACCAAGCACCTGATGACCCAAAAATTCGTCATCAAGAGCGCCAGAAGAACTAATAACAGTAGTAAACGTGTTCTGATTATAACCAATTCCTTCAAGTCTCATTCTTTGATATAAATCAACAACCACTTCAGCATCTCCATTATTGGAGAACCCAACCATGAATGAAGTCCAAGAAACCACATTTCTTTCAGGCATCTCCTCAAAGAGCTTTCTAGCACTCGACATAAACCCATATGCACCGTAAAAATGCAATAACGAAGTGCCTACGAAAACATCATGTAGCAGCAGCCCATTTTTCAACGCCAAGCTATGAATTTGACGCCCTTCAAAAACCATGCATTCTACCCTAACAAAAGCAGTCAATAAACTCGCAATAACAAACCCACTTAGCTGAATCCCTCGAGCCAACATTTCAACGAAGAGCCTAGTCGCATCAATGTAATAACCCATCTTAACATAACCGGAAACCATATTATTCCACGAAGCATCATTTCTCGCCGGCATTTGATCAAACACGTGCCGTGCCTCTTGAATTTTCCCAAATTTCGAATACATCCCTATCAAAGTATTTACATGGAAAATACTTAAATTGCTCAACATCCATGACTGTCTCAGGTCCTTCACAAAGAGCCCGTGCAAAGCACGGCCGACTAAGTTGTTTGTGATTTGTGAGAAGCCTTTGCTGAAAAATGCAGAGATTTCTGGGTTGGGATGGTCGAGAATGTAGTGAAGAGTGCTTTCGTTGTCGGTTATGTCCTCTTCTTCTTTCCATGGTTCTGAGATGGGTTTTCGAGAAACTCTAACGTAGTCGACGATTGCAAGATGTGCTGAAGAAGCAGTAGAGAATTTGAGTTTGAATGGCAGGCCAAGTTTGAGAGTTGGAAGCTTTCTCCTGCAGTACCTAGCCAGCTCTGCTTAAATTCACAAAAAGCGCGGGCCAGGTGGGATCTTTGGCTACCGGCAGCTTGTGGTGATGGCGATGATGGAAAGTTCAGCTTTCAGTTTCTGCAGTTGTTCAGAACCAGAGAGGGAAACTGAAGGGGCAAATCAGTCTTTCGAAAACTTTGAATTTCTTTTTTTTTTTTGTCTTCCAACTGCTATCATAGCTGCAGACTATTTTGAAAGCAGGCAAATTGTCAAATTGACCCCTTAAATGTTTGGAAAAAACTTTTTTTAAGTCCTTCACATTCAGAATTAGTCAAAATAATCCCTCAAATATAGAAATATTGTCCATTTGGTCCCAGAGCTTATTTTTGCTGCGTTCTTGGGTCAAAAGACGCACGCCTACCTTAATCCATAATTTCAAGAGCAAAATGGTAACAAAATCTGTCACCTTCTTTGTCAAATGAACTCACAATACTCAACTGGATTCAAGTTTTACTTTCTTTCTTTGTTTATATAGTGACTCATCAATATTTTTCGATTGTTTTTGTCATTTTTCAATTTGATATCGACACCCTTTTCTTCGCCTGCTGTGACGATGCACTTCTGAAGTTTTGTTATTAGGAATTGGGGTTTGGTTGCTTAAAAATTAGAAATAGGGTTTTAATGGTTGAAAATCGGGGGAAAATGGTGGTCATTTGTATGTGTGTGCATTTTTTTTTTAGTGAAGCGAAACGAACTTATTCCCATTTTGCCCTTGTAATTATAGGCATATGAGATAGGTGTGCACTTTTTTTTTTAATTG